GATGGATGGACTGATGGATGGATGGACTGATGGATGGATGGACTGATGGATGGACTGATGGATGGATGGATTGACTGATGGATGGATGGACGGATGGATGGATGGATGGGCAATAGTAATAGCACCTAGACTTATATATCACTTCACAGTGCTTTTCAGCCCTCTGTAAGCAGTTTACAGAGTCAGTATTTTGACCCCAACAATCTGGGTCCTCATTTTACAAACCTCGGAAGGATAGAAGGCTCAGTCAATTTTGAGCTGGTCAGGTTTGAACTGCTGGCAGTGGGCAGAGTTAGCCTGCAGTGCTGCCTTCTAACCACTGCGCCCCTCCCCAGCTCAAACAATACATCCCAAGAGAGCACCAGGCTGCATGAAACGTAGCCCATACTTGATGCTCATAGCAAACTAGCTGTTTTGCTAAACAAAATAAGAAACAACATCCTTAAGGGGGATGAAGTCAGGGACGGAGAAGAAATGTGTTAGGAGACTGGACCTCAGAGTAGACACAAGTGCCAGAAGTATGTGTGGTGCCTTCACAAAGAGCCTGTTGTCCAACCGTCTTGACTGCACAATAGGATGTATTGTCTTCTTGTGTTTGGAGCCCCTGAACTCTTTGACTGCAGCAAAAGGGGAATCTGTTCTAGCTCATGCATTGTGTTTTGGTTTGAAAGCTATCAGGCGGATCTGTGGAGAACTTACAATGAGCACTTTGGGAAGGAAACAAAAGGAATACACAAAGGAATTCTACCAATGACCAGAAGGGACAGCTTTGGAAAGTTATACGCAGACATGTAAACTCATTAAAAACTGGCTTGGAAATAGGCCAAAACAAAATGTTTACAGAGCTAAGTGCTAGCTACCTTGTAATTTATACTTTGGTGGCATTCATAATAAAAGGATATCTAAAATAAGTTTTAAAGAATATTTGATGAAGAGTGATGGAGAAGAGAACTGTGTGGCCATGAGAAACTGTTGCGTAAGGAAGGCCAAAAATCCCACAGGTGGGACTGCTGTCTTCTTCTTTCGTTGTCCTTGACTTCATTCTCCCTTATTTCTGTATCGTTTCTCAATGTTATTTCACAAGCCGTATATTCATATCCATTTTGACATATTCTTGGAAGCTTCTATGTTAATGTAATGAATTGTTGTGCGCCCATTTGCTTCATGTGTGCTTTAAGTATATGTTTGTCTTCGATTCTTCAATCCAATTCAAAAACGCTGGCGGAATTTCAACCTAAATTGATAAAAAGAAACACAACCATAATCTGCAATTTCAGTTTGATGTCAGCATCTCTTCTGTTGCTATTCTTGAATCATGATTCATTTTAGGGCCTTTTATGTGATAGTGAGGGGATGAGAAAGAGAGAGGGAAGGGAAGAAGGAAAGAGAGAGAGGGAAGGAGAAAAGGGAGGGACAGAAGGGAGGGATGGAGGGAGGGAGAGGGATGAGAGATGGATGGATGGATGGAAGGAAGAAAGGAAGGAAGAAAAAGAAGGAAGAATAAGCAGAGAAAAGAAAGGAAGGAAGTGAGGGGAGGGATGAGGAAAGAAGGAAAGAAGGAAGGAAAGAAGGAAAGAAAGTAAAAGAAAGAAGGGGAAACAAAGGGATGGAGGAAGGGAGGAAAGGAGAACAAAGTGAGAGAGGAAGGAAGAGAGGGAAGGAAGAAGGAAGGAGGGAGGCAGCAAGGAAGGAATTTAAGAGGGTTGATAGAAGCTACACCTTCATTCTGACCACCAAAAATGCAAAACTATAAAGCCGCAATGTTGAAAATATTTTCAATGCAATAGAATTAAAATAAGAAATCCCAACTCTGTGTGGTCCAGGGAAACGAGGTAGCCAGTATCTTCTCATGTGACTTTCAAAGAAAGCATTTTTTAGATTAAAACTCAAATTGTATCTTCCAAGGTTTTCACCGGCTTATTTGTAAAAGGCTGCATTATTGATTTCTATCTGGCAAGCGAGTTACAGATTTTGGCAGTTGATCAGAAAGAAGCTCTGGGAACCACACAGCACAACCTTGAGGGGAGACATCTGGTCCCCAGTTCACTGTCTGCCAAATTCTCTACTAGGTGGTCATTTTCCCTGCCTTGGATGGCTTTTTCAAATGGCCACTGGCTGAATTTACCACCCAATATCACCCAAGTATGAACATGTGAGAAGACCGTGCAACCTACAACCTCCCTATACCTCCAAAGACATCTCAGACCTGAATCTTGCAAGCAAATAGATCTGTTAAGGGCCATCATGGTGACAGGACAAGAAGCAAAGGATGGAAATCCATCAAGGAGAGAAGCAACCTAGAACTAGAGAGAAATTTCCTGATAGTGAGAACAATTGGTCATTGGAACTGCTTTCCTCCAGAAGTTGTGGGTGCTCCACCATTGGAGGCTTTCAAGATGAGGCTGAAATGTCATAGGGTCTCCTGCTTGAGTAGGGGATTGGTGTAGAAGACCTCCAAGGTTCCTTCAAATTCCGTTATTCTGAAATGTGACAAAGGAAGAACAGCATCTAGATGAGTGGCCCCAACCAATGGAACAGAAGTTGCCTTCAGAAGTTGTGGGAGCTTCATCACTGGAAGCTTTTCTGCAATGGGTCAGCCCAATTTATGACTACTGATGTCTTCCTGTTTAATTTGCCTTCAAAGATAAGAATCCAAGGAGAATGCACATGAGTGTGGTTTAAGGGATACCATTCTATGCACTACACACAGCTTTG